GTTCGTTCTCCCTTGATGGACGGATGATGAACGTCCAGAGCTTTTTCTTTCCTTTCCCCACCTTTGATTTTTTGAGACAGGATCTGAGCAGCCTGACCGCATGGCCCTCCTGCCTCAGTTTCCTGAGTTGCTGGGATTCCTGGGACACAGCCCCACACCCTGCTCTGGAGAGCATCATCTTCACGCTGCTCTGAGGAGGCCCGTGCTCCTCCATCTTTTCAGTTCTGACAGTTCAGAATCCTTGGCTCAGTTGTAGATGATGATTGAGTTTTTTCCTTGCCTACCAATCCCTTTTCACACTTTCTTTGATCTTGTCTTTAGGTCTGGTGGGGACACCTGGTCTGTTTGAAGCTGACATTCTTGCTTTTAGTTGCTGCTGTTGATTTGCTTTTTGCTTTTTTTTTTTTGTTTGTTTGTTTGTTTGTTTTTGAGACAGGGTCTCAAGTAGTCCAGACTAACCTCAAACTCACTCTTTTCAAACTCACTTTTTTTTTTGAGTTAGGGTCCTTCTGTAGCCCCAGCTGGTCTGGAACTCCCTGTGTAGACAAGGCTGGCCTCGATCTCACAGAGATCTGCCTGCCTCTGCCTCCAGTGCTGGGATTAAAGGTATGTACCATCACACCCAGCCCTATTTTGTGTATTTTGAGACACAGGGTCTCACTCTATAACCTGGGCTGGACTAGAACTCACTATGATTCTGACCCAGGTTCGCCTTGTACTCGTGAGAGTCTCCTGCTTTTTTTCCTTTTTGAGACAGGGTTTCCCTGTAGCCCAGACTGCCCTTGAGCTCTGCAGTCCTACCTCAGTCCTCCAAGAGCTGGGATTTCCATGCCTGACTCTTGCTTGGTTTTTTATCATAAAGAGAATGCTCCAGCCATCCACTGTCCAGTGTGAAGATTCTGGAGACCTGTGGAAGACACCCTCTTTAGCTTCCTTTCCAGAACCACGGTGTGCCCCTTGCAACTTTTTAAAGCTTTTGATTTTTGCAACACTGAGGGTTATCTGAAGGCCTCATGCATGCTAAGCAAATTCTCTACCACTGAGCTATACCCCAGCCCTCAACATGTTGCTGTTTCTGCCCCTAATGGTCCCTGTATGTGTTATGAATGCAAGTTATACCACTCCTTTTTCTGATCTAAAACCATTTTTGGCTTGGACATGATATCTTTTGAAAAGCTCGGATCAATGTTGGCAGGCGTGGCTTCGCCGTGGGGTCGGTGTCTTTCAAGTGAACTGGCTGTTTTCAAAGTTTGCGCTTCACTTTGACCCAGTTCCCTCATACCCCCAACCCCCATGTGGCTCTTGTCTCCAGTCTTCAGGGAGATAGCTGCAATAAGTGACATTCTTTCAGGACAATCAAGTTTGGGCCATCTCTGCAGTTAACAGCCCTCTTCCTGGCCACTGTCCCCTCTGGCCATCAGACTCTCCATCAGATGGCAGTTGATGTGTTTGCTGGCCTCACAGACCAGGATTTCACCGTTTCTAGTTTATTAATGTCTTTTCTGACTCTCCTGGATGCCTTTCTTCTCTGTCCCTTGGTTCAGCTCTCTGCCCCTTTGTTAATCTCTTGAATCCTACGTGTAATTCACGCGTACCCCACCGAAGCTGAGGCTGTGCTCCCCCTCCCAGTGTAAGAACAGGGCCCCACAGTTTCCCTCCTGTTCCCCAGCACTGTGATCCGTTATCCTCCAGCCTAAGTGCTTCCTGCCTCTTCTATGACTTCCTCTTGGGTTCAGAGCTATTCAAAGTCTTTCCAACACATGTTAAACAGTCGCCTGCTTGCTTGGCTGGGACATGGCTGCTGTTCTACCTTTGTGTTTTGAGTCCTAGGCTGAGGTCGCCCCTTGTGAGCTTCACGTGCGTGCCTGGCCTGCGGGAACAACTCGTCCGCCTGCCTCTCAGTTTCTTTCCAAACACACACGTGCTCCCAGCTCACTGTTGGTCCTTAATCTACCATGGCGGTTAGTGGCCACATTCAGAAGCTGGGGCTTGCTGGGGCTCTGGGTTCCCCACAGGGCTACCCAAATTTAGTTCTGAATGGCGGCTGGCTCCTGGTGCATGGGGGCTTCTTGCCCCAGGCGGTGGCCTATCCTGTCCCCAGGCAATCTGAGCTGTTCAGCTGACTTTCGGAACAAGGCAAGGACCAAGCTTGATTTCTGGATTCATGAGGCCAACTCTGAATGTCAAAAAAGATGGTCACACTGGATAATTTTTAAACCTACATGCACAGGGAGCAACAGTGTGTGTGCGTGTGTGTGTGTGTGTGTGTGTGTGTGTATAAAGGAATGAGGAATGGTATTGAGGTGTGCCCACCCATGTGGGAGGCTGTATCTGTGAGGGCTACTGGCATGAGTACAGGTACACAGCAGGGTTATGTTGGTGCCCATGTGCACTGAGTATTTACAAAGATTCTCTGTCTTACCCTCTTTCGTTCCCCCAGGTTCCTGTGCTCTCCCCAAGGCCCATTCCTGAGCTTTCTTGTACAAAAGAAAGCCTTGCTTAGTGAGGTCAGCAAGACCCCTCCCTGACATCCAAGCATCACATGTTAGGTCAGAGTGCTCCCCCTCTGTTGAGATCTGGCTGTGCCCTGCCCTAAGTGACTCAATATTATGAGAAACAGTGGCTTTTCAGGCTGTGCCTGGTCCAGGGAGACTCCATTTTATAAGCAGCTTTTGACTCCATTTTGAGGGTAGAGGGCGGCTGTGCACCTGGGTGGACATGTGACCAGCACATCTGTCCAGCACTCCCCACAAGACACAGACTCCTTGGAACAGAAAGGGTGTCACCCCATACATTTATAGGGTGAATTGAGACTGTGGGGCACATGGACGTATAGAAATCATATCAGGGAAAGCAGGCCAAGGACTCATCACACACAGCGGACCTAGAAAAGAGCGGAACTCCCTCACCTGGACCCCATAAAGAGGTGGCCACCTAACACTGATGGCGATGGCCCCGCTGACCCGTCATCTGAGTCCTCGGTTTGTGTGTCAAGGACCGACAGGCAGAGCTGTCTCGATTGTTCCGTGGCTTTGGCTCAGATCGGACCTGCTGTTGCTGTCTGTCCGTTTTTTTCCGGCCGTCTGGACCTGCCATCATCCGTCTCCCCGCCTCTGTGTGGCTCCAGCCCTGCGCTTCACTTCACCTCGTTCCTGTGGCTCAGCTCGGCCCCTGCAGCAGGCCTGTCTCCGCTGCAGTCACTGCAGGCTCTTCTGCCTCTGGTTCAGTTCAGCGCTTTATCTTATCAACGCGGAGACTTGTGGGGCCCCATCACCTTCCCAGCTTTACCCTCTCAGGCCCCCTGGAAACTCCCTGCCTCTTTAAACCTTTGTAGCCATTGTGTAACCTACATATACGGGTAGAGATATAGATAGATCTATTTGCTGTGTGGTGTGTGATCTGAGAGTCAATATTAGTAATAAAGATTGGAATAAAACAGCCTGTGTTTGCCTCGGCCGGGCTGTCGTGGAAATCGGGAGTATCTGGCAAATTGCTGCCATTGAAACAGCCTTACCTTTTGAATTTATTGCTATTCAAAACCTTTTGACTTTGTGGAAAGACATAAATGTATTTGTCTATGTTTCTGACATAACGTACCCAGGGTAGAACTCTAGGTGATTTCTGATCCCCTGGCCTGCCTTCAGCAGCAGGGTGTGAGGCCACCTTAGGCAGGGTCCCCCTACCCTGGAGTGTCCGTTTAGTCATTGTCTCCCTGCCTTTAGGCTTTGTGCCTATGACGGCACACAAAACATTCAGATGCATCACCATAGAGTATCTACAGCATTGGTAGTGCAAGTGTGTGTGTGTATGTGTGTGCATGCACAAGTGTGCCACAAGGCTCACACTCAGGATCCACCACACTGTGTGTTCGAGTCTACACACAGATGGGATTATATGGCTCTGTGTGTGTGTTGCGGTGCATGCACAAAGGGGGTCTATACTACTGTGTGTCGGGGTACACACAGACAGGATCTACACTGCTGTGTTTTGTGATGCACACACAGTTGGGGGTCTACAGCACTGTGTTGGGTTCACACACAGATGGAGATACATGGCATTGTGTTGGGGTTCACACACTGATGATGTCTACACCACTGTGTGTTGGAGCGTGCACAGAGATGAAGTCTCTGTGCACAGAGATGGCTCTGTGTGTGTTGGGGTGCAGGCACACAAGAGACTACATTGTTGTGTGTTGGGATACGCCAGAGGGGGTGATTCTGCTATGCTCTGGGGCTCACCCACATGCACATGTGCTCTCTGGGGGTTGCTGTTGGCTTCAGGATCCCCACGAGGGCTGACTGCACGCCCTGTCTGCACACAGCACGCTGACTGGAGCTGCCCCCCCAGCCTTCCCGGAGGTGTTTGTGCACAAGCCCCTTCCTCTATGAATACCTCGCTGTGCAGGGCTCCGCGTCTTGATCCAATTTCTGTGATTTATATTTTCCATAATTCTATTTGGTCAGGACTTTCAAATTTATTGCACAGTTGTGTTCTGTGTTCCCCTGTAATATAGGAGCACGCTGTTTGCCGTGCTTGCTCCCTCGTGGGAAACGTGCTTTCCTGCATTCCTCTCCCCGCCTTGATGTGCTAGCTGGAGCTCCCCTCGCCTCCCCCTTTCGGGGTGTCTGCAACGTCTCCAGGCAGCCGGCCTTCCTCCCTAACTCTCCCCAGGCCAAGTCGTTCTTCCCCAAATAGGGCTCAGGGCTGCCCAGGCAGCCTTCTCCCTGTCGACAAAGATGGGTCTCACATGGAGGGTTCTGGGCAGGGGAGAGGGGTGCCCTGGGGGTAAAAAGACTCTGATAAAAACAGCTACAGGCTGAGTCCTAAAGTTTGTCTGAACCCAGCACCATGTACAGCCGGGCCATGGCTGCTCACAGTAATAAGAAACCCTGAGCTCTCTGTGGCTGTTTTGAAGTGGGCTCCTGTGGGTACTCCTGCCCTTGAACCCCACCACCCAACCTCCCCTAGGTCCCCTATGCATGACAGCATGCACTCAGTAGAGAGGAGTCTGGTAACTTTATTCCGAGACCCCAGAAGACGGGGACATCGTGACAGGATGGACCCCGAGTCCCACAAGGAGCCCAGACACGAGGGCTGCCAGGTGCGGAGCTGGAGAGACAGGCTGCAGCGGAAGTCAGGCAGGCAGGTCTCTGCCACTGCACCCTCCTGACACCTTTACTTCCAGCGACCTCCAACCTTGCCCTTGGCGGTGGCACCGGCCTTTTTGCTGCTGCAAAGGGGAAGCAAGTTGTGCTTGAGGGTCAGTGGGTTTTGTTGGCCGGCGGAGACCCTCAGCTCGGTCTCCTCAAGCTGCTGCTCCCGATCCCTGATCCCCATGCGCATACTTCATTCCAACCTGAGCAGTGTTTGCTGACTCACCTGCAGTGGGCCCAGCGGGGCCTGGGTACTTAGTGCGGTTAGGACGGGGTTATCTGGTTACTGGGTTCACCTTCTATCCTCCTGCCTCTCCCAGGGGGACCGCTGCAGATGGACATACCCTATCCCAGCTCAGACTCACTGTCAAATGCGTACTATTGTCTTTCCCCTTCTGGACAGCAGCTGTCTCCAGGACTGTGGCCCTGTTATCTTGAGGCCTTCTGCACCCCAGCTGCACCCCAGCATGACACTGAGCTCAGGGTCCTGGTAATCTACTGTTGCAACTGGTCCTGGGTGCTCTCTCTCTCTCTCTCCCTCTCTCTCTCTCTCTCTCTCTCTCTCCCCCCTCCCTCTCCCTCCCAGCTGGCTTGGAACTTACTGAATAGCCAAAGATAACCTTGAACAAGATCCTCCTGCCTCCCAAGTTCTGGGATTACAAGTATGTTCTACCATGCATGGTTTAAGCAGTTTTGGGATCCAACTCAGGGCCTTGTGCATGCTAAGTAAGCACTCTACCAACTGAGCTGTACCCTACCACTTCCTTTGGGGCATTTTTTTTTTTTTTTGTAAATTGAGATGGGGCTAGCCCACAGTGGCCCTGGAACTCCTGCCCCTGCCTCCAACTCTGGAGGAGTGCTGGGGTTATAGATGTTCGCTATTGCGCCCTGTTGCTCAGGGTGGCCGAGGGGCTGGGGATAGGGCACTGGCTCCTGTGTCCACCAAACCAGGTTACTTTTGAGACTGAAACACTGAAGAGCTGGCCATGCTAAGCTGTTCAGTCTCCTGCCACAGGTCTCTCTCCTTGGTGGCCAGCGAAGAATAGGACAGGAAGTTGTCACTAGCAAGACCTATCTGGCACTTCCTGTGTGCAGAAGTCAGAGGGTCCCAGCATCCAGTTAGTTAGTCTTGTTACTGCTCTGCCAAGAGCCAGCCTCGGGAACCCTTACTCAGGGACCTACTAAAATATCGAGATCCTGGGGGCTTTGTGCCCAAGGCAGAGAGAGGATGGGTTTCATTACTTACTGCTTCTGGGCCTGGTCGATGCGGCTCCTGAGAGTGGTAATCTGCAAGAACACAGGTGACTTACTGTGACGGGGACCCGGGAAACCCAACTGAGCATGTCTTTACCACAGGGTGGACCAGCGGTGGTATGTCCACCACATCGTCACTGTGGGGGCACAGCCTCCTGAGCCAGCATCCTTCCTGTCTCCTGGCTCTTTGGTGAGAGATCACTGCTCTCAGACTGCGTCTGGACTTTCTCTGGCTTCCACACACAGCAGCTCCCAGCTAACCACTTACCTTGTGGCTGTGGCAGGATATGGGCGAGGTCGGGGGACAGGGTGGAGGTGGCCTTCAGACCTCCCTTGCTGTTCTAGCCTTGACCCCTGACCTCGACCTTCCTGTTCCTTGGCCCATGGCCCCTGCTCCTGACATGGTGACCCAGAGGCTCTGTCTGGGAAGGTTAAAAACCTTCCTTTCCTACCTGCCAACAAGGGCAGCAGCTGGCCCTGTAGCCACCACCTGGGGGCAGGAAGGAGGAGCTGGGGCAGGAGAGAAGAGCCCTCGGCCACCAGTGTCCTCAGCGACCCAAGTCTTTGCCATGCGAGAGCCTAGCTGAGCATCACACACCCACAAGCCTGGCCTGCGGTGGGCTCTGCCTACTCACAACTTGGCCAGCATCTCCACTCTGGCCCGGAGGGTCATGATCTAGAAAAATTGAGATGATTACCAGGTTGGGTGGGTGACTGAGGCTTCGAGGCCCTGTTAAGTGTCAGACCAGCCGTTTGATGGCCCTGGAGGCCTTCAGAGCCCAGGAGACCTTACGTGGGCAGAGCATACCTGGAATCTGTGGGGCCCTGACTCAGGTCCTGTTGCTGAGGAGACTGTCCTGGGTTCTACTCAGTGGAACCATCTCTGGGCCAGCCCCTGGGACAGCTTTGAGGCTGAGGAATGGGTCTCTTTCTGGGGATGCTCAGGGAGGAGCATAGAGCCCATGGCTCTGTGAGAGTTGAGCAATTGAGGCCCAGGTAGCCCATCAGGCCAGAGGTTTCCAGAAGGAGCCAGAGCTTGTAGACTGTCTGTTTTGTCCTCTGTGAGAGATGCCCCCTGGGTGTGTCCTGTCCCTCTGGACACTGGATGGGCATGAGGGGCCCAGCCGCACAGCTTTGCTGCACTAAGCACAGAGGTCCCAGGACAGGCACTCTCCTCCCTGGATCCACGATAGGCAGGAATGAGCTCAGCTTCTGTCCCAGACCCCAAGGCCCCACTTCTGTAGCCCCTACTTTGCCCTTAGCACCAGTGACTGTCTGGGAAGGTTGCTTCTGCTCATGAGTGTCATGAGCAGCCCCAGTCTAGGTTGTCAGCTTCCCAGAGGCAACTCAGCCCTGGCCTCCCTTCCCCGGTTGTAGGGTTGTAGATGGTGTGAATTACCCTGTCTGCCTGCTCAGAAGAAAGAGCTGTCTTAGGAGCCTCAGCAGTGGGAGAACTCATGACAGCTCCAGCCTTGGCCAATTCACCTGAAGGGCCCAAGCTGATGACTCAGGTGCCTTCCCTGAAGGACAGTCTCCAAGCAATGGCCCCCAGCTAAACTCAGTGGGGACAGGTCTCAAGGTAAGGGCAGGACCAGAGTATGTGGGGAGGCAGCTGACCTCCCTAGAGGGTGAGACCCTGAAGCAGGCCCAAGAGCCAAAGGTGCCTAGACTTACATCATATTTCTGGCGCCTCAGCTTCTCCCCAAACTCGAATTTGTCGGTCTCCAGTTGGTACAGGGTGTCCCAGAGCTCCTTGGCCTTGTCCCTGGAAGATGGAGAAGGGGAGGCTTGATGGAATGAGTCAGAAAGGTCGGGCAGGAAGGTAGGTGGCTTCCTGCTCCAGCCACCATGCAGAGCTGGGACTCAGCACTTTGGGGGAAGGGCCTGGCACGGTTTGAGGGCCACCCTGTGGTCCCCCTACCTCAGCTTGTCATCACTGAGGTGGTCGATGTTCAGAGGCTTGCGTCTTTCTGCAAGAATCTTCTTCTTCATTTCCCGGGCCGTCTGCTTCTTACCTCTCTTCTGGTCGGCCTGGGGGAAGGAGAAGAGCGAGGGGCATGTTGGAGGAGAAGCACAGCAGGAGCACTGGCCCTGCGCTAAGGCCGCCATGGGGCTCTAAGCACGTGCCTCACCTTGGCCAGGTAGCTGCTATAGTTGGCACCCATGGAGGACAGGGCCTTCTTCTTCTTCAAGTCATCCTCGGCTCTCCGCTTGGCATCTTCCTCCTCTCTCCTGGCCTTCTCCTCCTGTGGAGGAGCCATTCCCAAGATCCTCAGGGGAAGGACAGGGAAGGAAGGCCCAAGTCCTGGCACTTGCGTGTGTGTGTGTGTGTGTGTGTGTGTGTGTGAGAGAGAGAGAGAGAGAGAGAGAGAGATGGGGGGTGGCACGGTCCTTACCGCCAGTCTGTTTTGGCGTTCCCGTTCTTTCTCAGCGCGGATCCTCTGCTGCTCAGCCCTCTCCGCACGGCGCTTCTCCTGCAGCCAAGAGGGCAACGTAGTCAGCACTACTCTACCATGCCCAACCCCGCAGCAGCACCCAACGGCCTCTCAGGGCAGCCAGACTCACAATCCTCTCCTTGAGCGCGATCAGCTCCTCCTCTTCTTTCTTCCTGGCCTCAAAGTGGTTGTCAATAAGGGCCTGCAGCTCCATGAGGTCCTTGTTTTGACGCTTCTTCTGGATGTCCTGGGGTGGACAGAGGCCTTCAGTTCCCACCCCTCCTCACCAGCCTGGGACCCACTGGCTGCTAAAGGCACCTTCTGCCTTAGAGAGAGAGGTCGTGCCTCCTCTGGCCAGGTCCCCACAACTGCTGCCATCCTGGGGCCCAGGATGGCCTGACACACAAATCCCGGGGGTGAGGTAGTACCCTTCCTGTGGAGAAGCCCAGGCCCTGGCTAACTACAAAGCCAGTGGTCCTGAAGTGGACTGGCTCAGAGATGTCTGTCTGAGCCTGGCAGAGAGAAGACCGCGAGATTAACCGTGGATAGATAGGTGTTTGAACAGATGAATGGGGGGATAATGGTAGAAAGTTAAGTGAAGAGTTAGGTGGATGAGTGGATGGATGATTGGAGAAATGGATAGATAGAAGGTAGATAATGAATGGGTAGAGAAAAGGATGGATGAGGGGTGGGTGGGTGGATAGATGATGAATAAACAGATGATGGAAGGACAGACGGACAGGTGAATGGAAATGGCTGGATGGATGAGTGTATGGAGGATGAATGGCTGATGGGTGGATAGATGGATAGAGGGTGGGTGGATGATGGGTGGATAGATGGATGGAGGATGGGTGGATGGATGGAGGATAGATGGAGGATGGATGGATGATGGATGGATGAAGGGTGGATAGATGGATGGAGGATGGAGGATGAATGGCTGATGGGTGGATAGATGGATGGAGGATGGATGGAGGATGGGTGGATGGATGGAGGATGGAGGATGAATGGCTGATGGGTGGGTAGATGGATAGAAGGTAGACAGATGATTAGTGAGTGGGAAGCAGATGGAGAAGCGCATGGATGGTTAAATAGATGATGGGTGACGAGTGGATGAAATGTGTGGGTGGATGGATTGGCAAGTGGGTGGGTAAGTTGATGGATGGATAGAAGGATGGATAATGGATGGGGGATACAAAACGGGTGGAGGAGAAGGGAAGAGGATGTTTGTTTCTAAAGGCGTTTTTTGGGGTCCAGAAATGAACTGTGGAAGTGTGGTCTGAGCTGGGCAGCCCTGGGTCTGGCTGCTTGGGAGCATGTGACCTTCTGACTCCTGGCCTGGAGTTCAAAGTTTGGGTCTGGCTTCATCTGGAGCTTATAAACTTACATCGAAGTCTACTTTCTCCCCTTCTGGGATCTTAGGAGCAGTGAGTCTGAGGAAGAGATGCAGAAATTATTTCACAGGCAGGGACGGGGGACCTTCCTGCAGTGGAGGTCAGCTAGCTCTGGACCCAGCCTGACTCTCCTCCTCATACACCTTGGCACCCAACACAGGACATCCTGCCCAATGGTGAGTTTCCTTAAGTTTTTGTTCTCAGTGACTTGACCCTTCCTAGAAGGTCTAACCCTTCCTGTTGCTTCTGCTGTTCTGCCTGCAGCTTCACCCCACCTTTCTCAAACACTTAGACAAATGTCACCAGGTCCTACTGGAAGGCAGGGTGGCCACCAAGGGCCCTCCAGCGGCCGGCAGCGTTGGCCTCTGGGGTGAGCCCTGCCCCGTGGCTCTGGCTACTCTTTTCATCTTTCTTTCTAGGAGCCCAAAGGAAGGAGGCGGGGGACTGTGAGGGGAGAGGCGCCCCCAGCCTGCTGGCCACGACCCCCTTCTCCCGCCAACACATTCCAGATGGAGCGGGGAGTGGAGACAACTGCGGCTTTTAGAAGCCAGCCGCAGAAGAAAGGGGAGCTGACTATCACTCAAACCTGGAGAGGGAAGGGATTTTTCTAAGCTCCAAAGCCCCAAAGTTCCCTCCAAGGGAAAGCTGTACAGATGATGTCGTGCAAATGAAAAACTTATGTATGTGGGGGAAAAAAGAGGTAAAAATCAAAATGCAGAGGGGGAAAAAACAGACTGAACAAAACTTCTCAGCAAATACAGAGAAGACTTATATCCTTGAGTAAACTGAGGATTGCGCAAGCACGGAGACGCGTCAGCCATGAGATAAATGAGCAGAGGGCACAAGCAACCGACTTGCAAAGAAAGATAACCACTTAACAAACACAGACGGTTGGCGGTGGTGCCATCCGAGGGATGCTAAGGTAAACAACCACGAGATGCCGTTGGCTGTTCATCAATGGGTGAGGGGCAGACACCCATTCCCGCCTTTGGGCACGGAGGGTGTGGGACACAGACGGCTCAGGCTCACAAGCCCACGTAGGAGGCCTCCTTGGCCGGGCCTCGGTGGAAAGCAGTTTGGCAGTGAATGTCTAAGTCTTCAGAGTCTTTGTCCTCTTTGACCCAGTAATTCCAGTTCTGGGAATGTGGCCTAGGCAAACAGCCCTCAAGACGGAAAATGCTTTCTGCCCAGTGTTATTTATGATAGTAAAATATCAGGGGAAGCCTGCGATCGGGGCATGGTTAGGAAAATTATGGTTTGTCCAATTGATGGAATATTATGTGGCCATTCAAAATATTTAAGAAGACTATGTAAAAACATGGAAAAATACTTATGAATAGTGCTAAATTTTTTAAAAAAGCAGAACTCAAGACTGTATAGACAGTCCTGTGTTTGAAAAAACATAGTCAAGATCTTTATTTTCCAAGAACTTTGCATGGAAAAAGAGTAGGAAGAAGTAGACAACCCCCACCCCTGTTCTGGTCCTTCCCGCAGTCTGGCTGGTGGGTGAGTGAGAGAATTATGGATGAATTTTTTTCCCTTCATTTGACTTTTATGTATTTTCCAAATTTTCTTAATGAGGTGTTTTATTTTCATATTGAAAACACAAATAATTTTTCTAAAATGAAAAACTATCTCACAATCCGGCTTTACTTGATGTGAACTTGATTTAAAACAAAGTTCAAGGGGGGAACACAGACCGGCCACGTTCCCGGTTTATCTCTGCTCTTCTCTTGAGGATGAGGAGCAAACCAGGGGCATGGGCCGAAAGCAAAGACCCAGTTCAGAGTGAGGGGAAGGAAAGACTCAAAGGGACAAGAGGACATTGTATACAGAGATTCATGGGTTTCTAAGTCCAAGATTCTAGATTAAACAAACCCTGGAACACTCAAAAGTAAGTGAGACCAGGTTGCTCCTGCCCTCAACAACAATGACTCCTAGGGTCCCAACATCCAAGCAGCAGACTCCTTTGAACTAAGTTCATCCAAAATGGATGAACCCGCTGAAGTGAGATCCTTGCCCTTCAAGTACAGTTTAAACATCTGGAGACCTGGGTTAGCCTTCCAGTACAGACAGGCATTGCCAGGCCCCAGAGGCAGGAGACCAGGATGCCTGGGGCCTTGAACCCCACTCCTTGGTCTCAGTCCCCGTTTCTTTCCAGGGGGCCTTTTCTTCCTCCGCTTCCCTGGGTTGTGGGGCAGAACCACACCCAGCTGTCTTCCTGTCATTTCCATGACAACCTTGATCCCTAGTGTCCTGTTTTTCCTCCAAAACAGGTCTAGCATTCCCTCCCCCAGTCCTGCAGGTACCCCAACTTACTTCGGTCTTGGTTTCTCCTCTGGTCATGACAGCCAATGTGGGGAGAGGGAGGAAGAGAGATCAGGTAAGACAGGATGGCCTCTCCTGCCACGGGAACCACCAGCTTCCAACACAGCCCACCCCCACCCACTCTTTTCTCTGAAAGCAAGAGGGTCTTGTCTCAACTCTGAGAAGGACTTAAGGTATGGGGTTGAAGGAAGAAGGGAGCGATCACAGGGGGAAGTATGTGTCTGCGGAGGGATAGGAGGGAATATGAGGCAGGGAGACAGGAAGTCTGGAGGACAGAGCTCCAGAAAGCCTAGGGGGCCGCTAGGCTGCTGGCTTGACCCTACTGACCAACTGCCCACTCTAGGTGGGCAGAAACTTGGCCCTGGCCCCCAGCTGCATGGCAGATACACATAAAGCCACAGGGCTTTGCCACTGAATTCCTGTGCCGGGGAGAAAGAAAAGACAGACAGACGGACAGGCAGAGAGGGCTGAAGAGCCAGAGACACAGACACAGGGTCGCGCCTCATGTGGCAGAGGCTGCCAAAGCCGGGGTCCTGTGAAGATGGAGCAGAGGGCTGCAGCAGCGGCTGGCAGGCCTTACCTTCCTCATCCTCTTCCTGCTCCTCCTCCACGACAGCGTCTTCACGGTGTGGGCACAAGCACACATGCAAGAGAGAAGCCGCACGCACAGCTGCAGCGGCAACAGGGCAGCGGCGGCCACACAAGCAGCAGAGGCAGGCGCGACAGGGGCCGGTACGTGGGGGCAGCCCGGGAGCTCCCCTGCCTTCCCCTGGGCCTAGACCCCTACTTGGACCCTTGTAGCCCAGGCTGGTCTCATGCTCCCTGTGTAGCTAAGGATGATTTTGCATTCCTGATCCTCCTGCCTTTACCTCCCAAAGTGCTGGGATGATAGGTATTGGCCATCACGCCTGGTTTATGTGGTGCTGGGAATCGAACCCAGGGCTTTAGGCACGCTAGGGTAGCACTCCATCTATTGAGCTACATTCCCAGCCCTACAACCAGGATCTTGCCATCTGGGACAACAGGAAGGAACAAAAAGGCCTGGCTATGAGGGGCACGGGGATCTGCCTTGCCCATGTGCATATGGAGGCTAGAGCTGGGATGGAGCTGAGCTGGATGCTGGGCTGGGAGCTGGGCTGGGAGCTGGGCTGGGTGCTGTGCAGGGAGCTGGGCTGGAGCTGAGCTGGGAGGTGGGCTGGGAGCTGGGCTGGGAGCTGGGCTGGAGCTGAGCTGGGAGCTGGGCTGGGAGCTGGGAGCTGAGCTGAGAGCTGGGCTGGGAGCTGGGCTGGAGCTGGGCTGGATACTGGGCTGGGAGCTGGGCTGGGAGCTGGGCTGGAGCTGGGCTGGATACTGGGCTGGGAGCTGGGCTGGGAGCTGGGCTGGAGCTGGGCTGGATACTGGGCTGGGAGCTGGGCTGGGAGCTGGGCTGGAGCTGGGCTGGATACTGGGCTGGGAGCTGCCTCTTTACCCATGAGCAGGTCCTGAGGCCTGCCCTCTACCTTCAAGGTGAAGTGAAAACCACATGTCATGGAACCGTCCATTACCTAGGGCTCATCAATAGCTATGAGTTTTGGAGGGTTCAGCCCTCTGGGCAGAGTGCGGGGGGTTAATCCTAGAAATCTAACCCCCTGGCTTCTCTCCAGAAGTCTGGGTGGAGCTTGTCTGCTTGCTCTAGAGCCTTGTCTAGGCTGGGTACTCTGGGGTGGGACTGCTTCTCCTGAGCCTGACCCACTCCACTGAAGTTGGGCCTGGTACTGACCACAGCCTGTCTTCGACTACTCCAACAGTGCCCTTCCCTACTCTGTCCTTCAGTCCTGCTCTGAGCCTTAGGTGGCATTGAGGCCTTGACGTGTGCTCAGTTTGCCTCCGTAGGACACAGTCCTGGTAGGGAAAGCATCTATGATCTGTAGAGCCTTCCTTTGCACATGGCCAGTGGTCAGCAGGCCCCATCCAAGGCTGGGGTGGGGTGGGGGGTCTAGCCTGCAGGTTCTGAGCAGCACCCTGTTGGAACACCTCTTCCCCACTCCTAGATCACACAGTTACTCAGCAACCAAAGCACATGACAGAGGCCCCTGGACAGGCAGATCAGTTTTGCTGCCTAACACCTTAGGGGTGAGTGTCCAGGGAGCAGTGGGGTGCTGAAGAGCCTGATTTTGCAGGGGGTCTAGTGGGGCAGCCTGGGGAAGACATGAACAGTTTGCTGGGCTTGCCCCGCCCCCGCCCCCCCCCCCCACCAGGTCCTCCTCAGGCGAGAGGGGCCTGGAATTCTGGAGGACAAGGGCCGGGGTGCTTCTGAGAGTTGCAGTAGAGGAGGCCACAGAGCAGCAGACAAGGCTTCCTGCGTGCTCTGACTCTACCCTCCTGTTATCCACCTGTCCACCAGCCAGCCTCAGCTCTGGTCCCAGGGAGCCTGGTGTCCTAGGTCCCGAAGCTTCGGTCCCTCCTCTAGCATGTTCCTGTTCAGGTGGCCGCCTGGCAGACTCAGCCTTTGGGAACCTGTCCCTCCGCTGAGGCAGAGCGAAACCGGAGGGCCTGATTCAGGCGCCCAAGGCAGCCCCCTCTTCCCTCCCCTAGTGTAACCCGCCCTGCCGCCGGGCCCCTCATTCCTGCCTGCCTGCCAGGTGTGTCTGGCTGGGGCCCAGGCGCTGGGTGGGATGCTGGAACCTGACTGGTTGCCTGTTCTCATGCATGGCCCCTGGCTGTTCCAGGTCCCCCACATCCCCACCTCGGGCCTCAGCCTGACTTTCCGTTTCACCCCATTTGCCCCTCTGCCCTGCCTCAGCCTCACCCCTCCTTTCCTCCCTCTGGCTTGATATACCGGGTAGGGTGGGGGCCATCCCCTTGCCCCTCCTCGGCTGTCTCTACCCATCCTGGTGGGGCCGAGTAGAGTGCCCCAGCACAGTCCTCCCAAGGCTACTCTGCGGACCCAGGGCAGCCTGTGTATTAGGTCCTCGCCTCCCCACGGAGGACCCTGAAGACATTGCTTGCTGCTCCTAGCCCTTAAACAACGGGCCGCCGCCACTGTCAGCCACCTGAGCCAGCAGACCAGGCTAACTCCCACAGTCTGTTCTGTCCCCAGCCCAGAGGCCAGCACAGCCTAGTCAGTAGTGGGGATGTAGGAAAGGGGCAGGAAGCAGGCAGAGAGAGAAGGGAAAGGGAGGAGGGGAAGGCCCCGCGGGCTGTGAGGTGGGCCTGGACCTACCTTCTTGGACTTCCTCTGTGGAGCAGCACCAGGGGAGGAGAAAGGGAGGGAGAGAATGAGTGAGTGGGGGCCGGTGTGGGCAAAGGGGAGGGGAAGGGATAGGTGATGAGTAGAGACAGACGGTGAGTGAATTACACGGCCCCCTCTTGTTCCTTCTTGGCCTGCTCCTGTACATGCCCCCCACAACACGACCACACATGTCATGTGGCATCAAAGTTGTGTCACCTACCTGGTTCAGGGGCTAAGGAGGGCCATGGAACAAGAGGCAAACCGCGGGTCAGAGGTCAGAGAGGAGAAGGGATCCGAGGTTAAAAGGAAACAGCCCGTCGCCGAGAGGCCAAGGGGTGGGATTCATGCAGGAAGCGAGCAAGATACTGTCAGAGTTAGTGGGGTCCTGCCACCCCTGACCCCACACCCTGGTCCTGGGCCCCCTTGAAACTTGGGAGCAAGAGGAACTGAGGGGAACTGAACCCACCTCGGACTTGTCCTGCCTCACAAGTGGGGAAGCTGAGATGAGGGTTGGGACAGTAGCTTTGTTTCTGTTGGGGCGTCTCACTGAGGAGCTCCCAATCCTTTTGCTTGTCCACCCACCTCCTGTCTGTCCTCAGCTAGGCCCCAGCCTAGGTTGTGGCCTAACCTGAGGCCCCTGGACCCCAAGGGAGGAGAACCTAAGACCTGGCCAAGATACTCATTTCTGGCCATCCCAGGGCTACATGAAAAAAGCCTTTCCTTTGGCCGCTGCCTGGCATAGCCTCTAAAGAGATTGGACTGGTGCCTGTCCTGGGGCTGACCTTGGGGCTGATGGTTAGCCAGGAAGGAGGCCTGAGAGGACTTGGTCTTTCCTTGCCTCGGGTCAGGCAGCAGGGCCTCTGGCTTCTCCTATCTCTTTCTCTTATGCCCTGAGTTCTTTTGACATCTTGCCCCAGGGTTCTCATCTAGCAAAGGTGTTAGTCACCACCATAGGCCCAGTGAACTCTCTGGGGTAAAGGCTACAGCCCAACCCTGGCCCTATAGTGTCCCCCACTGCCCCTTCATTAGGCTGCCCTCTCTGAGGTAGGGAACTATGCTCCTTGTGTTCTTACAGTCCTCTCTGGTCAAGCATTGGCCATGGTTAGTGGGTTATGTGGGGCCACATGGGGGGCCCCTTGGCTGGCTGGCGCCTCCCTGCTTCCCTGCCCTCTCCACCATCCCACATGGCTCCAGCCAGACCCTGGGCTCCACATGGGGACCAGAAGTCCTTGTTCTCGTACCTTCCTCCTGGACTTCTGCGGCCGAGGAATTGCCAGGGAGTGCAGGGTGATGGGGAGGAGAGAGGATAGGTTTTAGACAGGAGCACACAGCAGGTCCTTAGAGGCAAGGGCTGGAGTCCCAGCCCCGTGAAAGGAGGGTCACACCAAGGTCACCAGGAGGGCGAAGGACAAGGGCAGGGAGGCTCAGGGTGGGGGTCAGGTCCCGGAGCTACTCACCTTCCTCCTGAGCCTCCTCTGAAGGTGAGCAAAGGTGACAGAGAGGTGGCAGGTGGGAGAGAGGAAGAAGATGTTAGAACAGGGGCTTTCCTGGGTTCTCCTAGGCTGACAGGACAAGCCGCCAGACCGTGTGTCTGGCCTGCAGCAATCAGTGGCACTGAACAGAGGCCTTCCGGCATCAGCCCTTGTTGGCCCTGCTGGGGCACTGAACCTGCACCCTTTCCCACCTCCTGGGGCCTGGCCCCCAACACCCTACATCCCATAGTCAGGTGTCTGTGATTTGGCTTTGCTGGGGAAGGAAATGAGGACCAGGGCCAAAGCCCTGTGCCATGGGGAAACTGAGGACTCTGCCCATTTCTGACCTGGGAGGTCTCATCTAGCTGTCAGGAAGCAAAGTTGGCATCAAGAGGTTTCGAAGAAACGAGACCCTCTTGCATGAACCCAAGAAAGGATGGCCCCCGGAGACACATTTCCCACTGCAAAACCAGCCTCTCTACCTTTCGGCAGCAAAATCTTTGCTCGGGTTGTTAAGGTAGCAGATGTTTTCAAAATATTTTCAAAACATAGCACCCAGCAGCCCTTACAGGATGGCCTGCCTGGTGAGCTGTGTGAAGCCTCCCCAGGCTCAGCAGGTGCCAGGAGCAGGCAGAGCCGTCAGGCCTGGGAACCACTGCGCTGGTCTGCTCCCAGGTGCGCCTGTGCTCAGTGCTTTGCCTGCCCAGGCATGACAGAGCCAGGGAGGGGTCTCCAAGTCAGCCCAAGGGTACGGTGAAGATGAGATGCTGAGAGAGACACAGAGATAGAGACAGGCAGGAGATAGAGAGACAAACAGAGACAAGGAAGAGAGAGACAGAAAGAGACAGAGAGAAACAGGCACAGAGATCGTAACTCAGAGACAGAGAAACACCATTGGACAGATGGAGAGTCCGAGAGACAGATCAGAGACTCTGAGAGGCAGCAGTGCACAGACCAAGACCCCTGATATTAATGAGTTTTTATAGCCAGACCCCAGCCCACTTTACACAATGGACACGGTGATCATGGGAGCAGCTGTGAGTGATTAATGAGTATCTATTAATCAATTGAAGAGGTAGGAGGTTAATGATTTAATTAATGATCAACCATTGACCGTTAATTAAATAATGGCGTTAGTCATTAACATAGGGAAGATGAATGCTGATGGTTAATGGAGAATTAATGACGAGGAAAGGAGACAGCTAACTGTCAAATCAGGGAGGACCCTGAAGGCCGTCCCAAGGATGGGCCTTCAGAGGAGTCCTGGGGCAGGCTGAGGGCTTCCAGGGACTCCGAAGTTACCTTCCTCTTCATATTGCTCTGTACCGGGACAAAACAAAAGAGAGGGCCGTGTTAGCAGAGTGGGCCTGGGGACGGCAAGGTGGTGGAGGGACCAGTCTGCACTGTCCCTGGACTAGCCTGTGTTCCTGCTGGTTAGGGATGGGGTGTGGGTTGGGAGATGACTCCATCCGTGAAGAGCTTTGAGTTGGGTCCCAGGATCTGCATAAAAAGCCAGGTATAGCGGCACATTCTTACAATCCCGGTGCTGGGGAGGTGGTGAGGGGAGGATCCCTGGGGTTTGCTGGTGTGGCCAGTGTAGCCTAATTAGCAAGTTCCAGGTTCATTGAGGGTCCCTGTCTCAAAAAATACAAGGTGCTCACATCTCTGGTCCCAACAAGCTTGTGTGCAAACACACACACACACACACACACACACACACACACGCACGCACGCACGCACGCACACACACAAACACTCGCACACTTTGTGGCCTTGCAGGGGAAGGTGTCTCAGCCAGAAGGGTGACATTGAGTGTCCCTGGATGCCATGTCCTCCTACACTCAAGACAATGACCAAGGGTGAAAAGACGGGGCGGAGGAGCTGCACAGACACTTGAGTCCTCGTGTGCAGGTCCAGAGGTGGAGGTGTGACCACCTCAGAGGAAAGAGGAAGTCAGAGATACAGCACCGTCAGGAGGGGGATGCCTCTGAAGCCCCCTGGTTGATCTAGCTGGTCTGGGACTTCCTCCCCAAGGGGACAAGTACTGTCCAGTCAAGGCCCCTCCCTGTGGGTAACTTCTGTCCAGAGATGGAAGTAAAGAGAAAAGTGACACTCACCCTCAACCTGTTCACTGTCAGGGCGATGGAAGGGGAGAGAGAGAGAGAGAGAGAAAAGATGATGAGTTTCTGAGTTGGCACAGTCGTCCACAGGCGCCAGGGGTCCAGTCCACACAGCAGGGTACTCACGTTTCCTCGTCAGACATGGTGGCGGTGGGTTGTGTCTGGAGAGGGGGTGAGAATAGAGGGGACAGTTAGGAATTGCCCTGGTTTAGAAGCCTTGGAAGGGGGTGAGGATCTCAGAGCCAGGGAGGATTAGAAGGGACAGTCTTGACTGCAGTTGAGGACCACTCCTTGGTTGTCCTGACTGGGCCCCTTTTAGCCCTACGACTCCAATTCCTTCCTTTCTGCCCTGGCTCCTGGAGCCGGCTGGCTGTTAGAAGGCTGCAGTGTCCATTCTACCCCGGGCAGATGTCCTCTCTACAGCCTGGTCATGGAAGATCATCCAGAATGTTCAGGTCAGGGAGGGCCTGCAGGAACATCTGAACCTAGGGATAAACTATTGGTCTGAGTTGGGGACCTCTGGCTGGGGAACCATCCCAAGATGGCTGAACCCAGCTTCTCCAAGGTGATACAGACCTAAGTCTGCCAGGCCCTCAGCCCAGTGAGAACTACTCTTGTCTGATTGAATACAAACTCCTCATGGTTTCTCTGAGGGCCCAGGTCCCCTTTAGAGTACCCCAAAGTTTCTTTAGTGCTCTCCACAAGCCTCTGAGGACCCCCTCCCCTAAAGCACAGAGCTCTCAAGCTGTTTGGTCTCCTCTTTTCTGTACGATACGGAGACCCTGAACTCAGGGGGCCTAGACAACTTCTCTGTGGACTGCTGGAGTTTCACATGCATGTGCTGAGTGGACTGAGGCAACGGCACCCCAGGTTTCTCAGTGCTGTGCCCAGGTGCGGTGGCCACAGGGAAGTGAAGTCAGGGATGGTCCTCCATGAGCCGGCCGCCGCACATGCCTGCAGTGGCCAGGGCCTGGAACACCCTAGCGGCTATATCAGAAGTGATGGCTCTGGGTTTGAAAAACAAAGTTAATGACAACATCCCACAGCGGACTTGAAGTATAAGAAAACAGCTTCACTAGCTAAAAATGCATCGCAGTTTGGTGTTAAGGTGGGAGCTAGCTTTTCCAGACCAAATTAAGCTTCCTGTAAAAATTAACCCGCAGATATCTGGGAGACCCTGGGCAGGCACCAGCTTCAGCCCTGGCTCATCCCAGAGCTCCTCTGTGAGACTCTATGAACCATGAGCAGCCTTGATTATTTCCTCTGCCAACCAGCCCTACAGCTGGCCCTGCCCTGGTCCCTGCCAACCCCCCTGATGCCACCTTCACTGCCCTCTCGGTGGGACGACTGTCTGTGGAGTGGGAAGGTCAGTGGGGTACAGTGGTAGAGCCTGAGCCCCACCCTGCTTCATCCAGCTCTGGTCTCCGATGGGCCCACACACCTGTCAAAAGTGCAGGGAGGGGGACCGTGTTGCCCACAGGCCAGGGGTGGGGTGGGGTGCATTTACAAGGAGCAGAGCCAGTAGCAGCTGAAGAGTCCAAAAATAGGCATTAAAATTCACAAGGCTCCTCTGCCCCGAAACCCAAGACAGCAGGAGGCAGGGTAATGAGGGCAACCAAGCCATCTTGGCCCCTCTCCTGGTTTCTGTAGGCATCCAGCGGGGGCGCCTGTACCCTCCCAAGGCAAGGCAGCAAAGGGCCTTCCTTCCAGGTGGGGAAACTGAGGCTCCTACTTCTCTGAGGAGCTCCTGGAGGCCCGCTTGGGCTACTGTGCTCCCCCCACAAGCCTGTATCAATGTCCCTGTAAGTTGGGGAGCGTCGGGGGGGGTTGGGGACAAGGACAAGGATGACCAATCAACAGCTGAGAGGGAGACCAGTTGTCCAGTGGAAGGTTCTGGCCTCAGAGGGGACGTATGTGAAAATAGCCCGTGAGGTCAGACTCCTTGGGGTACATGCCATCCTCCTTTCCTTCAAAGGTGACAAAACCCAAGGACTGGAGGGGTAGGGTGGGGAGCAACAGGCCCTGGTGCACTTACTTGCCGTGGGATCTTGATCACACCCCTGCCTTGGGTCCAGACCCCCCCACCACACACACACACCAACCCTGGACCCATCTCCTCCCGGGATTCCTAAGAGCCTCAAGAAAGCTAGAAAAGTCGGGGACCTCTCCTCGGGGATTTCAGAAAGACTGGGATCAAGAGGTGTAGGCTGGGGCCTCTTGGGAACACCTGTTCTTCTTAGCCTCGAGCAAGGTGGGATGTGAGCTTTGTGCTCAGGCCCCATCCCTCCCCTTCCCTGTGGTGCCCCAGTTTGGCTCCGGTCTGCCCCTGACCTGGACCTTAGGAAGCTGCCCCAAGGCCACTTAGAGCCCAGCTATCTCTTCCTTTGAATCCCTTCCTGGGTGACCTGAGATAAGTAAGCCCTTTGTCTCTAGGTCATGACAGTAGATCAGGGCTCAAAGCTCTAGGCTCCTGGGATAAACTACATCCCATTCCTGTCCTCAGGGCACCCACACAGAGCCCAAGGGGTGGGGGCACACAGCTGCATCCCAGCAGGCAGCCCTCCCAGCTCTGGGCAGTCCCTGATGAATGTCTCCTGCCCTGCAGCAGGAGGCCTTCTAACCACTCCCCCATCAGGCTCCCGAGACCCCTCCCCACTGCCTCATTCCAGACCCTTTTGTTCTGGTTTGGAGTTTTCTTCAATGTCATCCTGAGGTTCACACAACAGCATGGCCCTGTGTCAGAACCTCGGTCTTGGCCACCTGGCTTCAGGCACCACGCCTCTAGTCATGCACCTGTAATGCAGCATGGGGCCCAGGTCCACCTGAGTGTCACCCACCCTAGGCAGGCCGTTGGCATTCATACCTACCTGCAGTTGAGTCTGAGAAGGGCTGGGGGCTCCTGTGGACAGGACCAGCAGCAGTCACTGTCACACAGCCTCACCCCCTCATGTTATAGTGACATTCGATCTTCCCCGGCAGCCCATTGGCCAACAGATGGGTGGCCAGGGCATGGGGCATGGGGAGAAGGAGGGTGTGCCTGTGCAGGCCCCTGACCAAGTATAGGAATAGCCAGAGAGGAAGAGGCCGAAGGAGGCAAGGATGGAGGAGACGTGCTTAGAGGACAAGGCGAGGGCCCCGCCTGCCCCAGAAAGGTGTCAGCTGCTATTTTTACCCCTCCCGCCCTAGCAGTGGGCACATACTTGATGGACTGGGGAAGGGAGGAGGAATGGATTGGATGACCCTGGGGTGGAGCCCAAGGCTGGGATGGGGCTTCAGGCTCCCCTGCGTGGGTAGTAGGTAGGCATGGATGCTTCACTGAGGTCAAGGGTCCAATGCCATGTGATACCCATTGCCTTACTTCCTCCACCAGAAAGACAGTCCTTGGTGCCCCCAGAATTAAGGCCCCGGGGTCCCCAGCCCCCATCAGACTGAGGTCCTTGGCAATCAGGCCCATTTCTCCAAATGGACACCATTTGGATACATAGCATGAAAGGTTCAGAGAAATGATGACCTAAGCCCTGTGGTGGCTCCGCTGTCCGACTTCTACAGTGGTCGGGGCCTCCCAAGGCCAAGTCGTGCTTCTGCTGTTGGTCTGGAGGCTTATTGACAAATGGTGGAGCTCCAGAGGCCATCTTTCTGTCTGGGGGCCCGGGGCCTGCTGGGCTCTGAGCAGGCTGGGCCATGAGCCCACAAAGCCTAGCCTTTTTTCCTCAGGACTCCAGGGGGCACCATCCAGCCACAGACACCTCTGCTGGGTCTCCAATGGTCCTTTTGTGTCTGGATGGCCCTTCCTCTCAGGAAACCAAGGCATTAAGCAGAGAGAAAACTGCCTGGCACTTCCCACTCCCCCGACCCTCCCCAGAGTACACGGACTGGGCATGGCTGATGGGGTCTATGGAACTGCCCAGTTCAGGGAAGTCAATGTCAAGTGTGAAGGAAGTGACCAGGTGAACCCTAGGCTCCTGTCCTCCAGCATCCTAGGGTTAAGGACATCAAGATAGCCTACAGGAGGGTCATGGTGGCCCAGTCTCATTCAGATCTCAGGCCTTCGGGAAGAGTGGGATTTACCCCCTCAACTGCTTTCTACATCTTGGAGACGGAAGCTAGACAGTATCAGAGGCATGCAAGAGCTAGCCTGTGGTCACGGGCCGGGGGCAGGGGGCAACCTCCTGGTCTGCGGACTCAACCTCCTCTTCTCCTCTGCTCTGAGAACCTGCCCCTTAGAAGCCCCTTAAGGCTGAAGTTGCTGGGCCATCCCTTCCTTCCCAGTCAGAGCCCCTGCCTCCCCCTGTATCCATCCATGTCCTCAGATGGGAGAGGATTCTGCAAGCCCCACACAGCATGAATGCCTGGTTCACTCTAACCAGTTCTCTGGCCTTGGGGGTCAGATGGAGTTTATGAAAGCCCCATGATAGTGCCTAGGGGCCCTCCAAGTCTCTCCTATGGTGGGGCCAGCCTCCCTTCTCAGGCCAGCATCCCTGGCGAGTAAGGCTCGGTGTGCGGCTCAGCTGAGGTGCACGTGGGCAGTAGGTTTGGGAGAATTTGGGCCAGTCTGAGGCCCTTGCTGAAACTCTGTATCCGGCAGCTTTTGCCTGGGAGAAGTCAGGGTCCTTAGAGGCCTGTGGGTGGCCATGCCACCCTCTTTGCAGTAGCCCTGCATGGCCAGCAGGGGAGGGTGGCTGCCCACTTAGGGAGCCTTTGGCAGGTGCTCTGGATGAGGTCAGAGAAACAAGGCAAGTCTTATTTTGGGTAACAGTTACCTCCTCCTCAGGGCATCAGGCCCAAGGTACAGCAGGACAGCATAGAGTGGGCACCACTGGACCCACTGCTGACAGCCACCAAGGACTTAAGCAGGCCAGATAATACATGCCAGGTAACCCACTCCACATCCCACTTGGCCTAGCTGGGGCTGGGTGGGCAGAAGTTTCCCCGAGGAGCTGGGGAGAACTGGAGACCTTTGTGGAGGCCAAGGATAGTCTGTCGGGTGGTGGGTGGACTTCCACCCAGAAGGAAACTGAGGACCTAGGGTATGGAGTGCTTGTGGGGGACTCTTCAAAGTTGGTGTGTGCAGAGCTGAGCCCAGGCGACAGAGGAGGCTAAAAAGGGCCTGTCCTCCTGGTGTCTTGGTGCCAGTGGCCTGGGTGGGTAAGTAACCTCCGGGATGGTGGGGTGGGCAGAAGCCCTTCAAAATGGGTGCTAAGGGGGCCGAGAGTGGAGGAACCTGTAAACCCTAAGCCTCACTCAGTGCCCCTGGTTGACCTACTGTGGCTGGCTCTGCCAAGCCTAGGATAAGAGTAGCTGATACGGTACTTGGGACTCAGCCACTGCAAACCAGGCAGCAGCTGTCCCTGTGTCTGATGGCTTTTCATGGTTCTGAAGCACACTGATTGATTCTGCAGGTATCAGGGCATCTGCTGTGTGCTTGGGTTTTTACTTTGAGTGAGGCCTGCAGGAGTAGGCAGTTGCTGTTGGGTCCCTCAGGAGGCAGATGGGAGGATGGAAGGCCGGGGCATCCTTAGCTGGGGTCTCACCAGGGGTGGGCAGTGCTACAGCAAGCAGTGGACTCCACACCTCAAACCTGAGCACCATTTAGTGGAGTTGGACTCGGAGGACAGACCCTGTGTCCTCCTCCTGAGGCCTAAGCGAGAGGCTGGGCAAGTCAGGGAAGCATGGCATGTTGAATATCCTGGACCCTGCTGCTCGCCGTGCCCACTTGATCCCATGCTAGTGTCTCACTCTCTGTCCTGTTGTCCTTGAAGCAGCTCTGCCCGCTCACCATTCTCCTGAGTGGAAAGGCAGGGAGTGCCCTGTGTCCTGGAGAGGCTCCTGGTTGAGCAGGGCAGGACCCTGGATGTTCTCCCATGGTGACGCTGCGTACAGGAGGGATGGAACCATCTGCCTCCCTGCTTGGCAGCTCTATCTGCTGAGCTTTAATCTTCCTGAGCTGTGCATTTCCTAAGGTAGGCAGGGTTTGAAGCTTTCAGAAAGTCAAGGTTCTGAATGGCTAAGCAGGTTCTTATGGTCAAGCTTGGACCATAAGCAGTCAAGGAGCTCCAGAAGGCAACAGGGTTCAGAGCCAGGCCCCAGTGAGGGCCTGGCCAGGGGAGGGAGTCCCCCAGGAGGACACCCCAGCCTACCTCTTATTAGCTCTTTTCTGCAGCCACCACCCACTCACTTGTCCTCTCACACCCACTACTCCCCTTCTCTCTCACCTCTTCTCTTCTCACCGTCTTCTATGCAGTTACCAACTGTCCACTCATTCACCAACACATCTGCCAGCCTACCCATCCATCCATCTCCCCACCATCCATCTCCCCATCCATCTACCCACCATCCAACTCCCCACCATCCATCTCCCCATCCATCTACCCATCCATCCATCTCCCCACCATCCATCTCCCCACCATCCATCTCCCCACCCATCTACCCACCATCCATCTCCCCACCATCCATCTACCCACCATCCATCTCCCCACCATCCAACTCCCCACCATTTGTCTACCCATCCATCTCCCCACCATCCATCTCCCCACCATCCATCTACTTACCATCCGTCTACCCATCCATCTCCCCACCATCCATCTACCCATCCATCTCCCCACCATCCATCTACCCACCATCCATCTACCCACCCATCCATCTACCCACCCATCCATCTACTCACCCATCCACCCATCATCCATCCATCCACCCACCTCTGAACCTCTCACCTATTCACCTATCCATTCATTACCCACCTCCCATCCATCTATCTGTCCATCTGTCATTTATCCATCCATCCATCACCCATCTGTCCATCTACCCACTCACCCACCCATTCATCCATTTACCCATTCACCCACCCATCTATCTGTCCATCCATTCGTTCACCCACCCATGAACTCACCCACCTACCCACCATCTACTTGCCCATTCATCTTTCCATCTATTATTCACCCATTCACTCATCTATCCATCATCCCCCTACCTACTGTCCATCAATCATCTGTATTCCCACCCCTCTACCTGCCTGTCCCCTATCAAGCAATTCATCCATACACCCATCTTTCAACTCACCCATCCAATCATCCATTCATGCACCCATTCGTCCATCCATTCATCCGACATATAGTCATCCACCCATCTGCCCGATCATCCATTCACCTATCAACCCACCTGTCCCTCCATCCATCTGTTAATCTACCCATCCACCTACCTGTCCATCCATCTATCTATCCAGCCATCCATATCTACCTATTCACCTACCTCTCCATCCATTATCTGCCCGTCCACCTATTCATCCATCTATCCATTTGTCCATTATCTACCTACCTGTCCATCCATCCATCTATTATCCTGCCCATCCACTTACCTATCAATCCATTTGTCCATCCAGCCATTCATGTCTACCCATTCACCTACCTGTCCATCCATCTCTCACCTGCCCATCCACCTACCTATTCATCTGTCTATCCATTCATCCATCATCTACGCATCCACACAGCTGTCTACCCATCCATCCTTCGTCCATCTATCCATCTACTTGTTCACCCACCAAGCCTTCACAGAGCCCCTCCTGATGAGATGGGGATGCCCTGTGGTGGCACTTATCTTCAGTGACACCGCCAGGCACAGAGGAAGTAGTCTGGTTCAGGTGCTGTGAGGTCTATTTTGGTTCAGGCAAGGAAGTTTTATCAACGCTCTAGAAGGGGAATGTGGGTCATATCCATTACTGATACCCCAATTTGAACACTCCACACCTCAGATCCTGGAACCCAACACTGTGTAAGGCCACAGGACAGGACAGGTGGTTGCCTGCAGAGCTTTGCAGTATGGGGTAGAGTGGTCAACAGACATGGTCCTTCTGTCCTGACAACCCTGTTCTCTTGTCTCTCCCCCGTTAGTGAGCACAGGAGAGCCAGGGCATGGGGGGCACTCAGGGAGCTTTATTACACAACATGAGGTGTTTGAAAATGGGGCAGGAGAGGACACAAGCACTCAGCACAGGGGCAGGAGTCCCTTGCATCTGGGTGGGATCTGGCCTTCTCTCCTCCAGCTTCCTTTGGGAGATCTTGGCCCATCTAGAGGGTGGTCTCTTAGGCTGATGGTGAAAGAGAGAGTTGAGGGAATCAGAGAGGGGGAGGAAATAGAGGACAGAGGGTCCAGGAGAAAAAGGAGCAGGTGGTGGCAGTCGGGTTGTCGGAGGCACGAGAGCAGGTAAGGCTGGCAACGGGAAGCGACTTCTTGGCCGGGGTGGGGTGGCATCTGACTGGAGTCTCCCCTGGGAACACTCACCTACACCTGCTGAAGCACAGGCAAAGGTATGGGGTGCATTAGGCTGGGGCCAGAAGAGAGGTCATGACCCACCCCCATGCCTCTATCGCCCTAGTAGACATTGGATCCCATCATCATGCCCCTTCCTACTCCCTGGGGAAGTTCCTGCTTGCAGTGGCCACTTGGGGAGACCTGTTTCTCAGGGCACGTTCTGTCTTGGGCCTGGGCTGGCTCAGGAAGAAATGCTGCACCTACCCATGTGGTCCCCAGGAGCCAGACCCCTCGGGGTGCCCCAATTCCCAAGTCCCAGCCCCCTCGAGGCTGCCAGCAGCTGGGAGCGAGTGTGGGTAGACCCCTCCAGGCCCCTTGCCAGGGCTTGTCTCTGCTTCCGTAGAGCCAGCCCGCACTGCAGCAGCCCGAGGCCTCTTTCCGCCCCAAACCAGACGGCCAAGCTCAGCCCATATGCCATTTGTCAACGTCCTTGCAAACACGTGGCGCCCAGAAGCCAAGATTGGCGTCTTGACCAGGACCACCCTAGGCAGGGGGGCTGTGGGAATATCCCATTCGGCGAGCTCAGCAAAAACTGCTCCTACCTTCTGGCCAATCTACCTCTCCTCTGACAATGTCAACTTGCCCAAGCCTTTTGGCTGCCACCCCTCACCACTGTCGCATAGCAGACCGACACGCCTGTGGTCGGGTCGGAGACGGCATGGAGCCCCTCACGTGTCTGTGGACAGCCTGTACTTCCCACTTCCCACTACTGGCCAGCAGCTGGCAAGGCACAGGCATCCTGCTCGAAGTTCACCACTGGGTCTCTGCTCTGATCCTGCATCTTGGCCCAAGTCTGTGCTCCAGGTGGGCCAGCTTTGGGCTGGGCCATCAGAAGACAGAGCCCTGGAAGCAGGTTCCAGCCTCTGTTACCCATTGAGTGACCTGGAGCCTCTGTACATTCACTTCTCTACCAGGGTACAAAGAAGCCATTCACAGTGGCTGATGCATAAGCTTAGACAGTACCTTGTAGTTTCTGGCGGCTTGTAGCAACCAAATCTACACAGCCTCCCCTGATCCTGGCTAGTGGGAGACCATTTACTGAGCCCCTCCTGAGAGCACAAAAGAGCTGTCCTGACTGTTGTCTCTCTCCTTTACCCCAGACCAGTGATGTTCGTCTCAGTCATGTCGAGGCCTCCAGCAGCAGGAGGCCAAAGACATGAGGGCCCCCCGGGAGCCCCGCCACCCCTGCTGCCCAAGCCAGGAAAGGACAACCAGCGCCTTCAGAAACTTCTGAGAAAAGCTGCTCGGAAGAAGATGGTGGGGACAGTCCCCACCCCACCTGGGGCCTTCCGCACCTCCCTATCCCCTGTGAGTGAGGCCAGCCATGATCTGGAGACCACAGTTCCATGTGCTGCTGAGACCCCCTGTCCCACCAAGGCCCCATGTCCTGCTGAGGCCCCTCTTGTGGTGGCCCCCCTACCCTGTTCCCCACATACCTCCATCATCCACCACGTGGCCTCACCCCTACAGAGATCCACTTTCTCCTTTAACCTCCCCCAGCAAAGGTCTCTGGCCACTCATTTCAAGGCCCCTGCAAAGCTTGAAGCCCCAGCCCCAGAATCTGTTCGATCTCCCAGTGATTTTGCTCACGTTTCGGCCCCTGGAGCAGGAGGCACCCACATCACCCAGGTGCATATCCAGCTGTCACCATCCCCACATACTGGGACCTCTGAGTCCCCCAGGATGGCTCTGGATGGAGATACAGGCCAGTGTACCCCCATCACCCAATCGCTGATCCCAGTAGCACACATCCGCCCACTACCTGCTGGGGCTCAGGCAGCAAGTCCTGGGCCTGAGGAGCCCCCTATAGCAAGGCCGTCACCCAGCTTCCAGACTTCAGTGTCCAGAGAGACGGGTGCCAGGGTGGTGGTGCCAATAGCTCCCACCTACCACTCTCCTGGCCCCTCGCCTTATAGCCCAGCCCCTGTAACTCCCGAAGCAGAGTGCCTGGAGGAGCCTCCCATAGCCGGTCCTGCCCTAGAGGCCAAGCGTGTCTCTAGTGCCCCAGCTGTCTCAGCTCCTTCAGGCTCCCACCCATGCCCTGTCCCCAAAGTCACGCCCAAGCCCCGGCTCAGTGGCTGGACACGTCTGAAGAAACAGCTGATGGAGGAGACAGAGGAGCCCCCGTTACCAGGGCCGGAGCTGATCCCGGAGCCCACACAGCCAGAAGTGCTGGTCCCTGTGAGCACCCGGCCCCCTGCCTCTCGGGCTTCCAGGATGTGGGACGCAGTTCTGTACCGCATGTCACTGGCTGAATCCCACAGTGGCCGCTCCGTGGGGCCTGGGGACGGACAGCATCCCCTATCTGGCCGTGCTCGCCTGCCCTCTCTGTACTGGCCTCGCTTCAATGCCCGGAAGCTTCAGGAAGCTGTTCGGCCTCCTCCTACCCTCTGCTCCATCCTGGAGCTGAGCCCCCAGCCCAAGAATTTCAACCGGACAGCAACAGGTTGGAGGCTCCAATGAGGTGGCCAGAGCGGCCTCTGTGGTCTGGACTGTGGGGTGGACAGACTGAGAATACAGTGAGGCCTTGGCTTTCACGAGTGAACACAGGAAGTTAGGGAGGTGCAGGGCCATGGCAGCTGGGTACTGGGTGCTGCGAGCTGGGAGCTGAGAGGAGCCATTTGGGTGGACATAGGGCAGTTGGTGGGAGAGGCGGACAAAGCTGGGAACACATGGCTGGTGGCAGATTAGGATGTGGAATGGAACGCAGGAGGGAGAGTGTGAGTCTAGCAGGGGAGACTGAGGGTAAAAGTATCAAGAGGCAAGGGTTGGGCCCAAGGACTGGCCTCAGGGTAGCCTGTGCCTCCCTATGGCCAGGCTAGTAGACCCCTCCCTTCTGTTTGGGGACAGATATCCTCCTGTGTGGAGTGGATGTTGTGGCCAGAGCCTCCCTGGCAGTAAGGGGCTTTTTAGGAGGGCTGAAGATCAGGAGTCGGAGGCTAGTCATAGTGAAGACTCAACAGCTGGGTAAGCCCTGGGCTGAGAAAGCAGCCAAACCAGAGACTCCAAGAGGCTGGGGCCAGACACTGGAGAGACCCCTATGATGTGCTGGACTCAGATAGAACATGAACTGTGAGGGGAAGGACTCAGAAGGGCCCAGAGAGGCCTCTTGCCACAGCCACTACAGCAGCAGGAATCAACAGGGGAAGGAAGCAAGGGCCAGGTAGGCAGCCACATCCCAGATGTGATGGGTACTACGGCTGTGGAATAAACTCTGCACCACTAATAAACGCATGTACCCATGCAGTCATCATCTCTGTGTCCCCCAGAGACCCTCGCCTAGGCAGGGGGGCCAAGCCAAGTTGCTCCTTTATGGACCCTCAGGCTCCTGGTGCACAGTAACCCAACACTCCCGAGGGCTGATCCCTGCCCACCTTCTCTACCACTGGTTTGCAGTGGCTAGGCTGCCTTTGCTTCCTCAACAAGCCCCACCGGACATGGCGGAAGACCCTGAAAGGGTGAGTGGTGGCTGGGGTGATCTGATCTTTCTTGAGGGGATGGACTTTCAGGCTTCCCAGAGCCAGGAAGACAGAACTGGTGGCTAAACAGAAGATGTGGCTGACTCAGAGGCTAGGTCGCTGGCCCTCAGGGCCCGAGCTATGGACAAGCAGGCCCCGTTGTGTCAGTATGTCCCCAAATGACCTGTTTTGTCATGTTCAGGTCCTGGACTCACCAAGACGTGTAGCCTAGGGTACTGAACCCTCGTCCACAAGCACTTTCTCATACTTTCCGTGTCCAGTGGCCACAAATTTATACCTCTTCCCAGATGGAGTGCTCTGTTGAGTGAAACCCAGAGTCAAGGAGACAACTGTGGCAGGGAGATCCCATTGCCTTCAGGAAGTCCTCGGGGATGGGGTACAGTTGGAGCCATCTTTGCTCACGCCCAGGCTGTGCCCAGCATGTGGAGACCTACCTTGATGGGGGATGATGCCTTTGCCCCTCCTCTCTGCTCCCACAGGCTTTTCTTGCTCACGTCTCCAGCCACAATATCCTGGGGCAGACGTAGAGGCCGTGAGGGCAGACACGAGCCACAGGGCCTGCTTGTCTGCCCGGTGTTGCCGGCCTACAGAGTGGAGGACCCACCCACCTGGCCTTTGTCAGGGATCGAAGGAGGGCATGGTACCTGCTCACCAGGGCAGGGTGGAAGAAGCTTCATCCAAGCGTCACCCTAGACATCCCTTGCTTGCTTATCCAAGAGCGCCCCGTGATGACTGACCTCCCACACTCGGCCATCCCATCCCGGCTTGCCTGGGGAGGGGCCCTACCTGGCAGGAGGGTATCTTGGCAGTGGACTGAGTCTGCACCTCCCCCGTCTCCCAAAGATTCTTGGTACTGGCCACGGCCATGCTGGGCAGCTCTATAGAGGGCTGGCGGCACAGCTTGGGGGTTCGGCTAGCAGTCTAAGGAAGAGAAAGAGCCCCAGGACAGTCACCATGGTGAGCCTCAGAGGGGTACCTGCAGCCCTTGTTTATCTCTGATCCCTAGTGGGGTTTCCAGAAGGAGGGATGAAGTCAGGCATGCTGGATGGATGTGCTGTCCCTCATTTGGTGCCCTGTGAGCCACCTGGTTCTGAAGAACACAGGTGCATCGTGTCACGTGGGAGCCCATCTTGTGCTGCATGCCTCAGGGCTGGAGGGATGTTAGATGGATGAAGGACATGGGTTAGATGAAGAAAGGACACTGGTGAGATGGAGGGACACTGGAGGATGGGGAGTCATTGTGTAAGGTGATGTGTATGATGGAGGAGGGCTGATGGGATATACAGCGACTACAGGAGTATTGCGTTGGTGGAGGGGTGCTGGCTGGGTAGAGGGGAGCTGGCTGGGTAGAGGTTGCTGGCTGAGTAGAGGCTGCTGGCTGGGTAGAGGCTGCTGGCTGGGTAGAGGGGAGCTGGGGACACTGGAGGATGGGGAGTCATTGTGTAAGGTGATGTGTATGATGGAGGAGGGCTGATGGGATATACAGCGACTACAGGAGTATTGCGTTGGTGGAGGGGTGCTGGCTGGGTAGAGGGGAGCTGGCTGGGTAGAGGTTGCTGGCTGAGTAGAGGCTGCTGGCTGGGTAGAGGCTGCTGGCTGGGTAGAGGGGAGCTGGCTGGGTAGAGGCTGCTGGCTGGGTAGAGGCTGCTGGCTGGGTAGAGGCTGCTGGCTGGGTAGAGGCTGCTGGCTGGGTAGAGGCTGCTGGCTGGGTAGAGGCTGCTGGCTGGGTAGAGGCTGCTGGCTGGGTAGAGGCTGCTGGCTGGGTAGAGGCTGCTGGCTGGGTAGAGGCTGCTGGTTGGGTAGAGGCTGCTGGCTAGGTAGAGGGTGCTGGTTGAGTGGAGAGGTACTGACTGATGAGTGTGAATGAAGAGCTTTGCTGATGGAGGATACTGGTTGGATAGAGGAACACTGGTTAAGTAGGGGAGTTTTGTAGGCTGATGAAGTGCTAGTTTCATGAGGGTGTGTTCAATGGTGACAGGGACATGGGTTGAGTGGGGTGTATGACAGGACAGAGGTGTGCCTGTTGTAATGACAGGTGTAGGGTTGGTGGAGAAGGCAGTGAGGGTTGATGGAAAGACATTGGTTAAGTAGAGAGGCGTGACAGGATGGAGGCTGAGTTGCGTAGGTGGAGAGGTGCTGGGGGGATGGATGATGACATATTAAGGCAATCCGGTCACAGAGGGCTGCGCGCTTCACCTCGGTGGCCTGGGTGTACTGCTGCAGGCGCTCGTTGATTGTGGAGATGGGCAAGGCTGGTTGGGACTTCTTCACGCTGTTGCTGGGGTGGAACAAGGGGGTATGAGCCTTACATGACCCTCCAGGGCCCTCCTGGCCTTCCTACACCCCCTTCCGGAGCTCTGCAGTTCTAGAACTCCACAGCCCCGATCCCCATCCTCAGTGGCTCTCCCATCCTAGCTTGGAGAATGTCAGAGTAAACAGACGCACCTCTTCTCTATGGAGCGGTTCAGGGACTCTGTCCTATCGGCCAGCTGTAGAGGGTGGGCAGAGGTGTGGGTCTTAGACAGCTCACTGTTTCCCCAACGAGCTGACCACAGACTCAGCCCTACTTTTGTGTCACAGGGTTAGCAGCGTAGCACAGAGGGGCAAAGGGAACTCGGACAGCCACAGTGGACATGGGCAAGCAGAAGGGGCACTTTAGCCTTCACCTACTTTTGTGTCACAGGGTTAGCAGCGTAGCACAGAGGGGCAAAGGGAACTCGGACAGCCACAGTGGACATGGGCAAGCAGAAGGGGCACTTTAGCCTTCACCTACTTTGATGGTGGGGCTCAGGGGAGATGAGCTCACTTCAACAGTCTCTTCCAAGACCAAAGGGCTAGGGGTCCTGGGCTGCTGGCTTGTCAGGTGCTAGGGATAGGAAACCCCAGGCAGCTCAGGTTGACCCCTCCCTGCACCCTCCTGCCCCACCCAGGGCCTGTTGGAGCAACGGTCTTCCCCTCCCTGGGCCTCAGGTCGGGTTTGGCCCTGACATGCTGCAGCTCTGGAATCCTGGCTGGTTGCGGGGAAGTGTCTTCTGGGTCATGCAGGAGGAACTTGCCCAGGGGGTCACCAGCTTTACCTCCTTCCAAGAATGTGGCCTGGCAAGACTGAAGTCCAGGGCTGGGGGCAATAGCTCTTCCAGGCCAGTCTGAGTCCACGGCACCTACAGGGTATCACAGCCCCAGACCTAGGGGGGCCCTCACCTCTTCCTCTGCTTTCCTAGGATCCCCAACAGTGTCTTCTGGACCGGGTTCTCCCTGGTTCAGGCTCAGCCCCTTCAGGTGGACTTCAGTTTGGTGCAGCCCATGGTCACTGGTCTGATTTTCACAAGCATTCTGGGGGAACCTGTTATTGAAAGGGAGGCAACGTTGATTCCAGGTTGCAGAGGGCCATTTGTTGCTGGGTTCTGGTCCCTTCCCAGTCCAAGCCTCAGGGTTCTTATCTGTAAAATGGAGGTAGTCTGTGTTGGTACCTAGGACTCCTAAGACCCCAGCATTAAAAGAAAAGTTTCACAGTCATTCTCTCTCTCTCTCTCTCTCTCTCTCTCTCTCTCTCTCTGCATGCACACGCGTGCAAAGGTCAGAGGACAACTTGCAGAGTAGATGGCCTCCTTTTACCATGTAGGTCCCAGGGCCTGAACTCGGGTTGTCAGGCTCAGTGACAAGCCTTGCCCGCCCAGCCACAGCATTTTTGAAGAAGGCTGTCTAAGGGCTTTGTACAAGACCAACCGTCTTCTAGGGCCTCTGTATAGGGAACCAAGGCCCCTGTGAGACATTACTTACTGCCCAGTCCTCACTGTGTAGGGCCACCCAGGTGCTGAGGCTGGAGCCTCCCGCAGACCCCTATCTGGATGAGGCCAGCCTCTGGGGGCTCCTGCCCTGCTCATATATGGGCAAGTGATCAGCAGAACAGCACATTGAGGGGAGGGAGGTGGGGGCCCAGGCTCAAAGTGTTTGGGGGTGCTGGGTCAGCTGGTGGAGGAGGCCAGAGAAAGGGACTGCATTACTGAGGAGAGGGGCCTGGGGGGGGGGCAACCAATGGGCAGCCAGGCGTGACTCTGCATTTGAGTGGCTCTGAACCCGGAGAAGATAGTAAATTCTTGTATTTTCCATGATGTCAGGCCCCTCGGTGTACATGCCAGCCAAGACCGAAACCCACCGCCCAAGGTGGGCTGGGGTCCGAGCCAGCAGCGACCACACAGAGGGGCCATTGAGGAGCTGGCAGTCAGGCAGCCAGGAGGGTTTTGGGGGGTTAGGGTGGAGGCTGCAGCCGCAGAGCACCACTGGAAGATCAAAAGTGCCCCCTGCTGTTGAATAGAAGCAAAAGAGCCAGCAGACCCAGAGTGTGCATGCAGGAAGACCATGGGCTCAAAGGGGAAACTGAGGCTGGCAGTGGTGCCCAGGATGGCGGGCAGCAGGCCGGCTCAGAGCCAAGGCCCCAGATAGACAGAGGGCTGTTGGGGTACAGGAAATGGAAGTGGGATGTTCACCGGATGAGAGAAAGTTTAGCAGTTGCTCCCGCTGGCCTAGAGGCCTCCGAGGGTCCAGGAGGGGTCAGATCACAGAGGGTTAGACAGCACAGCCTTGAGCTCCTGTCCACTCGAGGCAGTGTCCTCCAAGCCTGCAGCTTCTAAGCACTGCTGGGGACTTTCTCTGGCCAGGCATGATGGGGTGAACAGGCTCATTCTCACACCTAACCCTTAACTAGGGGAAGGGCAGGGTAAGGTTCTGCTAGCAGCCCCTCATCCACAGACCGTCCTGATTTAGACAAGCACACACGTCCACACATCTGGAAAGTGTGTCCCCTGGGCCGCCTTGCAGGCACACATCTGGAAATACCTGCTCCCCTTCGTGGGAATGGAGCTCGGCCAGCCTGGGGAGGGCGGGCGGCCACGGGCTGCAGCGCCTGCATTACGTAAGTGGGCTGCAGCTGTGTGCTGATGTGGCGGCCCCCCCATCTGGCCACAGCTGGCCAGGATGGGGCCCCTGGCCCTGGGGAGCCTGGGAATGCAATGTCCTCACTGCTTTATCCTTGCAGCCCCCTCAATGGCCACCCTGCCATCTAGCTCCCTTCTTTCCTCCCTACAATTTTCATAGTCTTTGGGCTTGCAGAGAGGCATAGCCCAGGCTCAGGCTGAGGTCAGAGAGAACCCTATTTACCTGTCTTCTCCCTGTTTCTCCTCTGGACTCGCACTCTGAGGGGGCTCACCACCATCCACAGGCCCCTCAGTCCCACAGTTTAGCTGCCGCTGCTCTGACTTCTGAGACCAGTCTCCAAAACCTTCATCTTCATCTTGCTCAGATGCCTCTGGGGGCTTTAGGCTGAGGCTGGAAGAACAGGGAAAGAGGGGTTCGGACAAGCTCCCCATGTAACAGCCTATGTCCCCTTCCCTGCCTGCTCCCTTCAAACCTAACTCCAAGTGTAAGAGCCACCACCTACCTCCGAAGTGGCTCCCTATAGCTATGGGATAGGGTTGGATTCTCCCTATGATCAGAGAGTCACCCAGGGTAGGACTGTGTTTTCCTCCATCAGTCTAGGGCTCCGAGAGTAGGGCTGTGTCTCCCCATCAGTCTAGGACTCCCTGAGGGCAGGACTCTGCTTCCCCAACAGCTAGGACTCCTTGAGGCTGCTCTGACCCACAGTTTTTCCTCAACAACAGGGTGAGCGACTGGGCAGAAGGGGCTGGGGGCTAACAAGAACCCAGTAACTGAGGACCTGACTGAGGGGCCATGACCCCTGTGGCACCCCACCCCGCCCAAAGCTGCTGACTCCGAGAAAATGGAACAAAACAGGGCCAGGAGGAAGGGGAGCGTGATTGGAAAAACAGCCCAGCCCAGCCACGGGGGCCTCCTGGGCCCGAGGAGGAAACGAGCCGGCCCGTGGCCGCCAACTTGGACGTGGCCTTCATGAGTCACCGGCAGCCGAGAGTTTGGGCGGGGGGCTCGGGGGCCAGGGCCTCATGGCTGGGGTCAGCACCAGTCCAAGCCAGGGGTTGGGGCCAGGCAGAGTGTCCAGAGCCTGAGTCAGAGCCCCTGGCAGCTGCTTGGGAGGGGGAGGCCTCCCATAGCTCTGTGGACCCTCCGGCCAGTCAACATCTCACAGATGGTGGTCACCAGAGGCTGCCCACAGCACTTGTCTCAAGAACTGGCCCCTTCTTCCATGCCTACATTGTGACCCTGACCCCAGGGCCTGACCCCAGCATGTTTTTGCCCAGGTTCCACATGGCAGTAAGTGGGTGTCCAGAGCCCAGTAGCCTACAGTGCCTGCTGCTCCGGCTGCTCCAGGGGACAGCCATCTCTGTCCTCATCCTCATCCCTGTCCCGAAGCTTCTCTCGCTCCCGTTGGCGCTGTTCACGGGCAGCCTCCTCTTCGTCTTCTTCCCTCCACTGAGTAGTGAGCCTGGGGTATGGGGAAGACACAAGAATAATCGCATCATGGCTTCTTGAGACAATGCCACATGGCCAGGGTGGTGGCCAAGGCTCACTGCTGGCTGGTGAGGGCCAGTTCTTGTCCCTAGCCTAGTCTGAATTTGAGGTCATGCAAAGCCATTGTAAAGGTACTTCTACAAGGGTCGGGGGTAGATCCCAGGACTCTGTACACGTGGGTGACGTCCTGGGAGGGGAAGAGATACCAGGGTCCACAGTGCTGGGGGCTGGTGACCAGCTATCCTCTCCTGCTGGCCACCTCCCGTGTTAGAGCAGAGTCATTTTGTTCCTGGTGGGGACCCAAGAGGGCTTGAGAAAAGGGTGCAAGGGATTCAGAGAGTCCTAGCCAGATAGCTAACCCCCCCAAGGCCTCCTTCCTGCAGAGAGAACAGAACATGATGTAAAGGTAGCCACCATGCAGGGTCTGAGGGTGAGGAGACCTATAGTCAGGCCAGGTTCTCTGTCCTCTCTGGAAAGCCCCTTCCTCTCTCTACCTTGTGTTTGACCAGCCGAGAGCTGTGAGGGGGGCTCTGCAGGGCACCCCACCTTCACCCAGAGCTCTCTATGGAGTCTCTCTGGTTTGCTCCAAAGGTGGGGAAATAGGCAAACACTGATACCCAGGCTCCTCCAAATCCTTCTTCCCAAGCTAGGGGATAGTCAGAGGAAGGCAAGGTAGCCTGGGCCCAGGGGACCTGGAGGCCCTTCTCCAGCAGACCTTGGGCCACTGGGTCCAGCCTTGGTCACCCCATCCCTACAAAACACCCCCCTACCCACCCCAGCTCGCCTAGAGCTCAGACAGGTTGGAATCTGTTTCTAAAGTACCCACTGCCCAAAGTCTGGGGTACCCGAGCTGCTTGGGCCTGGGTCTCCTTTCTGGGGTCTCTGTTTCCCAGGCAGTGTCCGCTGAATGACCCCACAGCCCGCTCCCCTCTGGGCCTCAGTCCCCTGGCCAGGAGGCCTTGCCAGCACATGATCTAATCTCTCCAGGTCTCCCCTAAGCCTCTCAGACGAAAGCCAGGCCTCTCCACAGGCTCTGCGATGAGGTTCACTCTACCCCTCATCCCCCACCCCACCCCACCCCCGCGCCAGCCACATGGGACTCCAGCCACGCAAGCTGTCCAACCGCTCCTGCGCTCCTGCCTTATACCCCCAAGCCGAGCTGCCTGCCTCAGCCTCACAAAGGCCTTCAACTTCCCCAGCCCAAGCAACCCCCTTAATTCCCCACACCTGGCTCCCATCACTGGCAGATACCGAAGGCCTCCTGGCTCCCTCCCTGGCCTCATGGGGGGTGGTGAGGGAGGCTTCCCTTTGTTCCACCTGGTGAGGTGCAACTCTGTGCTCTAGGGGCTGTGAGTTGCTCCCTTTACATACATACAACAGCCCCCCCCAAGACTGTCAGGGCAGAGTTGATGGAGAGAAGATTCCTCACTCAGCTTCATTGCAACCCATAGGGAGAGACCCCTCTGGTGGGTTTGTTCCCACTTTCTGACTGAGTGTGTGTGTGTGTGTGTGTGTGTGTGTGTGTGTGTGCGTGTGTGTGTGTGTGTGTGTGTGTGTGTGTGAGAGAGAGAGAGAGAGAGAGAGAGAGAGAGAGAGAGAGTTTGTATGTGCAACGTTCTTGTCTAACTATCCTCTCTCTTGGGGAGAGGGAGTCAGAGGAACCTGGGTATCGATATGGCACAAGTGTGCACATGTACTTGGTGGGCTGTGCAAGCCCGGAACGGGGCACAGGAAACAGGTCAGCTCCTTGGGTCTGGATCCCTGAGAGGGTCTCACTCTAAATAAACCCAGGGCCTCACCTGCTCTGCTAAGTGTAGGGAGCAGAATTTCTTTGGGCACTCCTGGGGCAGAAAATCCAGGCCACGTCAGCCTACCCCTATCACACAAAACCTGAGCAAGGGGTGCACACAAGTACAGGGACCCCCACACACGGCTCTCATCGGAGCAGGGTGGACAACACACACACACACACACACACACACACACACACACACACACACACACACACACACACACACACACACCCCTGTGTGGTCACGTGGTCCCTCGCACATGCTCACACACAGGGTCACCCTCAGACGTGTACTGGCAGGGCTGAAGAACAGGGGATCACACAACGGCAGGTCCCATCCCCTCCCAAGTTCCCTCAGGGGCCGCCCCTGCCTCACTATTTACTGTTTTCCTAACCGTCACCCCGACAACGTGGTGCTGGGCCCGGGCCTGGCCAGAGGCCAAGGTGTGTTTTCTGGGAACATCCTCTGTGGGGTCCGCACAGCCCCCAGTCACCCTCACGTAGCCCTCCCTGGACAAAGTCTTGGGTACCCACAGAGGGTGCAGGGCAGGGGTCTCCTAGGGTTACCCCTCAAGCCCAGCGCTGGGGTGCAGCCTGTTCCCAGTTCCTGAGCTGGCTCTGAGGCTCAGGAGGCCTGGGGCCCCTCTCCCCTTCCCTCCCGCCTCTGGTAGTGAGTAATGCACCCCCTCCCCATGACCTCACCCCGTCACTATTCCACAGCTGGGCTCCGTTCTGGGAACTGGAAGGGGGTGGCTCTCTTGGGGTGGGGTGGGGGCCTCTGGCCTGGGAAAGGCGCCCCCCGGCCAGCGGCCCAGACCCCTTGGCACGCTCTTCGGAGCTGTCAAGACTCTGGCGATGGCCGCCCCGCCCGTGGCCCTGGCCCGCCAGGCGAGCGCAGCTGCGAGGGATTTGGTGTTCCTGTACAAACGCAATCAGGCCATTTCCTGAGTCTGTTCTGGCTCGGGGGCCCCGGGCTCAGCCCGAGGGGCTGGGGAATGGGGCCCTGCCCCCTCTTCCTGCCTGCCCTGGCACAGGGCTTACCGCACGGCTGGGTCCCCGCCCAGGTGCATCGGCTCTGGGTCCCCGCCCAGGTGCGTTGGCTCGTGCGGTGCGGACCCCCACCAGCTCCCATTCCGGGCAGGGGCCGTGTAGCTCAAGGGGCCCCTCCCCACCCCACCCTGGCCTGATGAACCTCTTCTGGGTACCTTGTTTTTCTTAACCCCCTGAACCCCTCACCCCTCCTCCTGCTGGCCAGACCCCACTGACAGCCCAACACCGCCCATCCTGGGCCTCGGCCCTTCCCGCTGCCCATGCTCCTTGTCCTCCCAAGGACGGGTCTATAGGTCGGCAGGCCTCTGTCCCTGTCCCAACTCTGCCCCCTGCAGGCAGCCCATGTGACTGCCCCTTCCAGGCAACTTGAACCCAAAGGTCAGCCCGGGCTGTTTCCAGGCTGGGGGTACTGGAGGGGACTAGGAACTGGACCTTGTGAGGATGTCCTGGGTGGCCGGCTCCTTCAGGCTACCTCTCCCCCACCACAGTCTCCGAGGTTCTGGAGGACTGGAGGGAGTGAGGAGCCTGGGCGCTGGGGACAGCCACCAGGAGTAGCTGATTGACCCCCTGAGACCACCAGGGCCTTGTGCCCTCAGGGAAGCAGCTGCCTCTGCCTCATCAATGCCCACCAAGGGGGTAATTGCTCCTAAGGCGGCTGCAGAGCCCTTGAGACCCTGAGACAGAACAAGGAAAGGCTTCCTGGGTGCAGGCTGCCATAGGCTAGCAGGATAGACCACACAGTACCCACGCGCAGACCTCTTAAGGGTCTGTCCTGGGTGATGGCAGCAGGCCACCACTCTCGTCCCATGTCCCCGGAGCTGCTGTTGACAGGCCCCACTGGACGTAGGGGTCCCGTTCCCTGTGGGCAGTCTAGGGAGGGGTGTGTGAGTAGTGCTGTTCGGCTGTTACTCTGGAAAGAGACATAGAGGTAGGCATGCGGGGTGAGCTCAGAACACGGAGCCCCTGGTCAGTAGGTGGGCGCTGGGTGGGGCAGGCAGGAGAGCACAAGTTCCCTCCCCAAGGCTGAGGTGAGGCTACAGGAATCCAGCCCCCAACCCAGGACACCTGGCTCTGGTCCAGTTCGCCTTCCATCATCTTTCTGGGCGTGCTGGTGCCCTGCTAGACACAGACAGGGTGGGGGTGAGGGCAGGTGAGTGAGGGGCACACTCCACTGGGCAAGACCCCGGCTCCCCTACCTGGGGAAGTACCACAATAAATTGGCCGAGGGGAGGGACATGATTTGACTATGTTTGTGAAAGATGAGCAGGGTCTTCAGAGAGACAGAAAGGCTGATGCAAAAGTCAGGTGACTGAGAAGTTTGAAGACCTCAGAGGGGCTGCATGGCCCACAGGGTGGCCCCTCACAGGTGTGCCATAACCAGAGTCGATCCTTTCAGCCAGGAACCCCTGGTCATGTTGGGGAGCTGGTGGGGAATGATGGGAAGGAAGGATGCAGGCCAAAGGAAGTGTCAGTGAGAAGCCAGTCTGCACTAAGCTGGAAATGGGGGACAGGTTGTGGCCTACAGGACAGCCTGGGATCTGTGCTATGTGCAGCAGGACCTGGGGTTCAGCTGGGTGAAACACTGAGGTACAGACTGGGCGTGCAGCATGTCTTGTGAGGGCCCTCAGAGACAGTGAGTACTAGGTCCAGGCTGCAAGAGCCCCACCCCAGGGTGGAGACCTCTGAGGGGTCCCACAGCAGCAGTCTGATTGGTTAGAGGTAGCCAAGGAGTGCAAAGATTGATGGCACAGGGAAAGCTGGGGTGCCACATCCCCTGGCTTCCTGACCTCCAGGTCTCCCCACCCCGGAGCACAGCCCAGGCCAGTGCTCAGTTCACCGTGGGTCATATGTGCATCCAGGATGGAAGAACACCCAAGTTGGAAACAGAGGATCAACCCCAATGGGTCTGCGGTTCCCAATCTGCTGCTGTCAGTCACAGGCACCTGAGAGCCCAGCGGGGCCTGGGGCTCTGTGTTCAGTGCAGAGGCCAGAGTAACCTGGGGGTACATGTCCCTGGGGAACAGAGACAGGGGCTAGGTGGGACCCCCAGGTCTGGAGGCAAGGGAGTAATATAAGACTTGCCCAACCCCATGATCTGGAGCCTTTGTATAAGATCCCCAGCTCCCCCGCCC